TCTTTAAAAAAATAAATAAATAAAATAAAATTTCATAGATCATTATTCTTCAATTCTGGGATCCATATTATGAGGGAAATCAAGACCTATATTTCAAAGTATGCAGTTCCAGCCCCTGATCCCCTATAAATTAAGGTGAAACTCTAACTGCTCTGTTCTCCTCGGACCATAACCAGCCCCACCCCACCCCCAGACTGAAAACATTCCTGCATTACCCTCAAACCCGGGGCTGCCCTTCCTACTTCCCTGGGCAACCATGCAGGACACTTGCATGTGCATCCACCCCAATCACATCATTTACTCCATTAGTCATTTAAAAAATGAGCCAACTGGCACTCAGTACTACCTACTAAACAAATACAAGGTACTTAAACCCCCATCTGGTTCTGAGTTGGTAATTGACCACTGTGATTCAGAAATTATCACCCTTGTCTGGGTGTCATTTGTTCTATCTATAAATTGAGGGGATTCTTTTTTAAAAAAATCTAACTAACTGTGAAGTCACCTAGTCATATCATTTAACTCATTTTTCCATTTCATTTATGAAGATATCAAAACAAATCTGTCAAATATTTTGAGAAAGTCCAGATACATTATATTTACGTTAATACTAGTTATCTTATTTTATTTATTGCATCCCCATGAACTTATTCTTTTATAACTGGAACTTTGTACTTTTTGACCCCCCTCACCCATTTCACCCACCCCCAACCCCTACCTCTGGCAACCACCAATCTGTTCTCTGTATCTATGAGCTTATTTTTTTTTAATTCCACTTATACGTGAGCTCATACCATATTTTTCTTTCTCTGTCTGACTTATTTCATTTAGCATAATGTCCTCAAGGTCCATCCATATTGACAAATGGCAAGATTTCATTCTTTTTTTATGGGTGAATTAGTATTTATCAGAGAATTATACATATAGAGCACATTTTCTTTATCCATTCATCTATTCTTTTTTTTTAAGATTTTATTTATTTATTTGAGAGACAAAATGAGAGAGGGAGAGAGAGAGCATGAGAGAGGGGAGGATCAG